GGAAAAATTTCTTTACTGAAAGAGTAGTTAAACATTGGAACAGGCTGCCCAGGGAAGTGGTTGAGTCACCATCCCTGGAAGTATTTAAAAGACGGGTAAATGAGGCGCTTAGGGACACAGTTTAGTGGGCATGGTGGTGTTGGGTCAACAGTTGGACTTGATGATCTTAGAGGTCTTTTCCAACCTTAATGATTCTATGATTCTCTTAGGACAGCCTCTTCTCTTTCTCTTCTCCTTCCCATAAAATGTAATCATAACCCTGTGCAACAGCAGCAAGCAGAGAGCTGTACCCTTATTTTGTAGCCACAGGACTGCATAAGACGGTTTCATATTAACCTTTTGCTTAATTTTTCTGCCTCCAGTCCTCACTTCCTGCCGCCACATTTGCTTCTTGTTTTAAGCGGCATATTCACTAGTGCAATGTGTGCGTGCAGATCATGCAGCTGCATAAATGCCCCCTTTCTTTGGAACATGCAGAATAACCGTTTCACTTGAAGTAATATTTTGGTTGTGATGAGAGAGGTAACTTCGAAAATATGAATTAAGTTTCAATGAGGCAATGAAATCTCCAAAAGTTCTGGCAATAGTCAAACAGAAGCTCATACCAGAACTTAATTGTAATATTCTTCTCAATGAGGTTAACTCTGAATCTGAAAATGAGGCTTCAGAATGTCAGTATTACTGTTTACCCTCACTGCTGGTAACTGCACTACACATCAACGTACTATGCCTAATCGTAAGAGTTGGACATACACCAAAAATTGACAGGCAAATTATTTCAAAATTTGGACAGGTAGCTAATGAAGAAATCAGTGCCACCCAGAACTCTCAAATCACTGACTTCTTAACAAACACAAGAAGAAGAAGGGCTAGTATACCATTTATTCATTGATCAGAATAAAGCCCTGGCTTTCCTAGCTGCTAGAACTCTCAGATAATTCACCTCCTGCATCTTCTTTGACACCTCCTATAAGGATACATGTTGTCAAAGCATAATTGTGCAGCGCACAGAAAAAAGAAAAAAGAAAAAAAAAAGAAAAAGAAAAAAAGGATCACATTTTGCAGCCCTACAAAAACATGAGCTACAAATAAAAGAGATATTTTACTGATCAGACTAAATTGAGATACCTGTGGGGAAGAGAGAACTTGGAAGGAAACATTCTGAGAGATGACTCTCATAATCCTGATCTGCAGTTAAATGATTTTGTGTGCCAAAGAGGACATGAAGCATTGGTTTTGATAGAGCTTATTGAAGGATAACACCAGCAGTATTTTAACTGCAACCAAAAAGCTGCAATCTTTCTTCTGCAGACAGAAGTCTATTCACTGGTATGTAGGCCACACCACCATACATCAGTACATTCATTGATACAGTTAATGCTATAATTCTGTTTCTTCAGGACAAAACAAAGCAAGCCAATTCCAGAATGATGGAGAATAAGTTACGGGAATCCTTATTTCTAGCAGTGACGTGTCTTATGAAAAAAGATGCCATGTCTACTTGGTCAGCCATAGAGAAGGACACTCTACAGTGCAAATTGTCACAGGTGAAGGTGCCATGTCTATCTAATAATACATGACCAAACTGTCATACTAATGAAAAGAATCTTAGCATATGATTCAATCTTCTCTTCATCAACTACATTCCATGTTTATCTGCAGCTGCCACAGTTGAGCTGGGACTGAACTATGAAATGTTCAAAAAGGGTAAAAAAGTAGTAACTTTAACAAAGCGAATAGCAGACAACACATGTAAGCATATCTAACTTTTCACCTTACCTATTTAATCTCTCTGTCTCCACTTCAAACTCTCGGATTTTACTTTCAGAGATAGCAGATCCATGTGAATAGAGAGTCTGGAAGATTTCCTGGATGTTTGAGCAGTCTTGGAGGGAATGCGCCAAATGTTCAGCCACAGTACTAGACACCTGCACAGGGCAGTTAATAGATCATTGTGATCAGATAACCACTGGATTCCTCCCACAGGCAGTCTGCACTGAGAGCTGCACTTGCTTGCATGCACTCACTTCAAGGCACTCATTATTCAGTTTCTACTATGAATTTTACATTGAATAGAACATGTACAAGTTTCCTCTTTAAGAAGCTATTTTGATTTAGAATTCTACTAACCAAAGGGTGAAGCCCACTATTTCATCATACATTTAAGAAGCCTAACATGCAAGTTATTTACTTTCTTGAAAGCTTAGCAAAAGGTCAGAGGTAAATTCTTCAGTGAAACAAATATTAACACACAGTAACAGCAGCGTTATGGTTTTACATTGGCATTACAAAGCAGAACCCAGTTCTCTGTTGATTGGAAGTTGTGAAATGCAACTGAACAGTCTTTTCTTGAAGAATAATACTTTGGAGGAATTACCTCCAAAATTATCCTCGAGGTCACTCAGAATGATTTCTAGCTACCAGTTACAAGAAAATGAGATCTTAATAATGGGTGAAATGTTCTCTGTTTAAATGTTTTTCTCAAAGTAACTTTTAAAGTTTTCAGTTAGCTCATATATTAATTTAGTAAGAAAACCATGCTGCTTTTAATGGAACACAGGTCACCTTCAGAAGTTACCACACATGCACATAATTATTAGTCCTTACCCCTATGCTGCTGATTTCTGATCCTAAGACAGGTCTATCAGATGATGAAGACTCTGATCTTGTCTTTGACAACTTCACTCTTTCAGCAATCTGTAAGTCAGAATGCTGCACAGGTTACACAGGAACCCACACTCCATAAAGATTACACAAAATGCATTTGTTCACTAGCTACACTTGCAAACCTGAAATAAACTACTGTAAAATTGACACCTGTGTTGTAACTGAGAGAATTACAATCATTAGCGCTAATTCCTTTCTGCAGCTCAAGTTCATGGGCCTGCTTAGGACCCCAGAAAACTCTCTGGGGATTCTAGGTATCTCCCAACTAATCACATGCTTGCACAGCAGCTGTGCAAAATGAAACCGGCTTCTTCCACATAATGAGAAGTGTTACTGCAACACGCAATAGCTCACCTTGGCTATGGGAATGTCATTGCTACTGCTGCTTGTGCTCAGCTCTCCCGTGCTGGGGTTAATGGGTCGATTGGCAGAAGTGAGACGACTTGGGCTGGATGGGCCTGTTGCCTGCACACTTTGCAAACGGGTTTGCAGTTCCCGAACCTATAATAAAACATAGTATTCTGTTTTTTCCACTTTTATAGTTTAAACAGTTTGGACATTTTCTCATTGTCTTGCCAAGCCCAACTGCTTCTGGCTTGAGCACAGTTGTATTTTGCCTTGTGGTGGCCGCGAAGTTTTCATGTGGGGAGCAGATGAATGGAGGTTGTTTTAAAATTCCATTGTTGCCAGTTTTTTAAACTATTTGCAATGTGGAAATATGCAAATGTAATACTGTAGAGCAATTACTCAAAGTTTCAGCTTGTTTTATATAACCCCTTCAGTGCCACTGTACTGTATGTATAGAAATTATTCTGTCTGGGTGATTATGTATAATGTATATGGATATATGTATAATCAGCCTAAGATTATGATGCCTAAACAAATCAAATTAAGATCCTGCTGTTAATGGAAAGCTCCAGTGTTGAAAAAACTCTTGACATAAATATATCACAGGATTTGTCATATTTAAAGGTCAAAGAAATTCAAACATTAATCATGCTTTCAAAACTGCAGTTAAGTAAAGCTACCATACAGTGAGTAATGTACGGACAAGAAAATACCAGCAAAGTACCCAACTAGCAGCCTGCAGAAGCTCTCTGTAAGCATACACTGCAAACACTGCACAGCCCTCATAACACATCAGATACTTGTAGAACTGACATCAAAAGATTTTCAGGACTAAAGGGTAAAAAAAAAAAAGTCTGCAGGAGCCAAACTATAGCTGAGCTAAAGATTATAGTGTTTACTTTGGAATAATTCTTAAAAGACAAAGAACAAATGGTCTGCTTAACACAACAATTATGCCACAAGGTAAAGTGACAGAGCTCATTTCTCCCACAGATCCTCAAACAAAGAGTGTGAGATGAGAGAAGCAGGAGGAAACCATCTGAAGAGGAAATTTCCCTGAATATAGAGTGTTTACTTTAATACACAAGTTTCTGTGCTGACTTTGTTGTAACAGTCCATCTGCAAAACAGAACTGGTGAAATTTTACCAAAAGTCCAGTGAAATAGAAGTGCAGTCCATTTGACGTGCCCCTGTAGCATGAAATGCAACTCTGATTCCCATTCGCTAAAACAACGTGGGATTTTATACTAAATACAATACACATTTACACAAAGGACTGATTAAGCAAGCTGAAATCCCTTAGTCAAAAAATATAAAAATTAAAGTTTCATTAAAGCTTAGGCTTTCTTCAGCTATAAGCTCACCAAGTGCACGGTCAGTGCTTTAGCAATCTCTGCTCGAAGAAGCGGCAGTCAGCATGTTCTCTGCACAACATGCACAGATCCCTTCAACCTACTGCACTAAGGAAAGAGTTCAAGCTGGAACTCTCTCCAGTCACCAGAGCAGTATCTTATGCCTCCTATGATCCCCTACAGTCTGCTTCTACTTTCCTGAAGAGTACCCCTGCCTCTCCCTCAGTCGTATGCAAACTGAAGGTCAGACTGGCTGAGGACTTACTGTCAAAATAACAGACTTTTTAGGTATGTGCAAATTACAAAAAAAGGAAAAAACCCATGTGTTTTACATACCAGAGCAGAACAATTGCATGTTACTAATAAAAAGCTGTAGGTGGCAACAATAAGAGCACATAAAGGCTAACTGCACTCATAACTTCCCTGTTCAGTCATGGCGGAGGGCTACACCTTAAACAAAATGAATCCAAACAACTCCATTGGTGTCCCTGTTAAAAAAAAAATAAAGTACACAAAACCTCAAATCAAATCCCCAATGTTTAAAGTAACTTGCTGAAAAATGGATGTGGGTGCTTGCCCCAGAATTATACAACTTAACTGTAATTACATCATGAAGTCAACCGAGCAGAGTGTATAAAGTGCACATTCATAGAATGTATCTTCTATGTATTTGCAGTTGAGGCCTCCTTTGTTCATGCAGACATATATAATTTCAACATGGGTACAGCTGCACTAATGCAAACCTTAAGGACAGAAGTGCTCTACTGATGCAAAGCAATCATTTCAGCCTGATATGCATAAAACTGAATTAAACCATGTATGCATGTTTCCGCTTGCAGATGTGGAATGCCAGTGCAGATAGGATTGGTACTGTGGCATTAACACTGAAAAAAAAGCAACCCCAAAACTTCATTAACTCAAAATCACATTTACTACTATTTCTTTTAACCTGGGCTGTTCCAAACTAAATTCCCAAAGTGCTTAAGTTACAGCATTGTTTAAAAGCAAACAAACAGGAAAACCACTAGGAATGTATTCTTCATAAAATCAAATCCCTGCCTCAATGCCTGACTTAAAAATTGCTGAAATAGTCACCTATGCCCAGAAGCTAGTCCCGGAAGATTTCAGTCCAAAAGCAAGTAACATTCTAAATTTAAGGGCAACCAGGAAACAGAGTGTTAAAGTTGCTTAAAATGCTAAGCATTCATTATTATAAAGCATCCAAAGTTTAAAAACACCTTATGTAAGGACAGTATTATATAAAACTTCAATGCAGATAGCTTTCCTTTAGTCTATGTTTTGTTACTGAGCAGCGATTATTGGCCACGATTACAAAGCCAATTATTCTTAAGGATCTGTAAAACAACATTAGCAACAGAAAGAAAATGAACACAGCTAGACTGTAGCCAGGCAAAGCTTTGCTCAGGAAAGCATTTATAAAAGAAAACGCAGAGCACAGCACAGTTATCAATCTCTGCAAGTCACTGCTTTAATACTGCATCATAGAAGCAATCACAACTTAAAAAAAACATCTGCTTGTTCATGTTTCTTGATGTATTTACTGATTCAGGCCTTCATTTGAGAAATTACACGCTGAATTAATTGCTATAAATAACTGCACTAACTTTAGCAATGCTGAGTACTGGATGGTAATTCTGAGCAGGGTAACAGGGCAAGTTTGTCTGACCTGTAAAATTACCGATCTCACAATTCACACATTCACCAAGCCAGAATCTCATGACTGGGTTGCCCACCCACCAGACTGCCCAGAGACAGCTTAAGTAACTATTTCTGGTCACTAAAACCTCCACCGTAAATAGAGCAGTATGCACCATCTCCTCAGAAAGTACTTTTCCACACTAGTAGTAATTCTACAGGAAAAATAAAGGAAGACCAAAGAACAGGAATCAAGAAAAAAAGAGTTCAGAAAAGCCAGTTTCTTCTCTGGATTGGTGAATGCATGAGTTATGAAAAGACTAGTTTAAAAAGTATGATTAAAGATTGTCTGACAACCCCTGCTCAATACTTCTACCAGTCTTAAGTGTCCTTACCAATGTAATACAAATTATTCTGAAGGTTACGTTTATTAGTATCATGAAGGCAATTGCAGTACTGCACATGAGACAGAATAAAAACTTGGAAATGGGAGAGAGAGGAAGGGCAGATCTTACAGGAAATGGATGACAAAATTGGCAAAATCTGATGGGTGAAGACAAGTGAAGAAACAAAACCAAAGAAGTTCCACTGAAAGACAGGAAAGTGTAGATTTGTGAGTTGGGGAGGAATAACAAGGAAGGATTTAAAAAAAGATTTCTTCAGTCCTTGCATCATACTAGTTTAAAGACAGAAACATCCAGAAGAATATAAAAATTGCCATAAAGTCCTAAAACTCTAAATTGAGATGGAAAGTGACCGACAGACAGACCTAATTATATGATCTGGGGAAAAAAAAAAAAAAAAAGAGGTGGAAAGAACAGAGGAAAACAGGAGAAATCCAGGGAAACATCTGTGAAATCCACAATTAAAAAAAAAAAAGAAAGAGCAATGATCTTCTAAACAGCTGGAGGAAGTCCAAAGAATTACAGAAGTAAAGAAGTGCTGGAACCTTGGAAAGAGCAGGAGCAGGGGCATTCAGTGAGACACAGGCAACAGAGACATTAGACTTCAGAGCAATGGATAGCCTAGATACCAAGATAAGTCAGGTACAAACGGATGTTCTCAAGTTATTAATATAAACCTAAATAACTGGAAATTTTATTTATTAGAATTTGATGTTTAGCAATATGAGCCAATTGTTTAGCTGCATTTCTAATTTATTCCTTTGAATGCCGAAAAATAAAGCATAATTTCTCGTGGGTACCTTAAGAGCTAAATAAAAAGACAGCAATGGTAGAAAAGGGGCTGACACATTACAGTGATGTTGGGTATATGAAAGACTTTGTAAGTGATTAACAGGCATCACGGACACGTTTGCAGAAATGCATAGTGGGTTATAGAAAATACTTTGGTGGAATATGCTCATTATCTATAATCATGAATCTAAGAAACATGTTTTTACTTTGTATTTTACACACGCATACTCACGTATGTATACATACATGATTTGTTAACATATCCTAAATAAAAAAAGCCACAGCTACAAACTGCCTTTGTCACTGATTTCCACATTCAAAGGACACCTGGTGCTTTTGTTCCTAAACCAGTTTCAAACAAGGGGCATGCCTGTGATTCTTTTCTTTCTACCCTACTTGTGACCTGTTTCATCACGCAGTATCTTTGAACCCTTCAAGTAGTAACATTTTTTTCCCCAGCATTTTAATACCGTTTCAATTGTTTTCCCCTGTTACACAGAGAAGGAAGATGAAGTACAACAAACCACAGGAAGTGAATATACCTCTCCCACTTTCTAATTTATTCACGCATACTGCAAGTCTGTGGAGGGGAAGATGGAAAATTAAATACCAGTGTGACAATTCAAGCTGCTCTGAGTGGTGAGGGCCCTTCCCAGCCTAAAGTACCCCTAAACTTTCAATCAGGGCCATCCCCTCAATGAATTCTCTGGAGCTGAATGAGCTTAGACCTGCACTCATTGGTGCAAAGGAAACATTTACAGAATCTCTCTCCTCTGCAAAGATGTCTACTTTCAAGAAATAGGTAATAACTTAACTGTCACTAGGAGCACTACTCCTCTGGCAGATCTGAAAATCAATCTGCAGTTTGAGTAATTATTTTGAGGAATGGAGAAAGGGAACAACACACAGACAACAAGCTACGGGAGAACAGGTATGCTACTAGGGTTTATACATATGGCTTTTTTAAGCAGCAGGAGAGGCTACAGTGCACTGGTTGATAAAAATATGTTACCAAGCAAGCGCTCCTCTGCTTTTGACACCTTTCAGACAAAGGCCCTCATGCAGTCCTCCATGCAGAAAGATCTGGGTGTTGCACCTCTATAAAGGATGCAAAGCAATGGAAACCAAGGATGTGGCAGGACGTGACATGGGAGGTGAAGGGTGGATTTCCTAAAACCTCTGAGCACAACTGAAGTGTTCTGATCCAGGCTAGCACACAGTGAAAACAAACAAGCGAGGGCAGTAAGCCTATCTCAGGCTTTTTCTCATTTAATTTCAGATTAATCACTGAGCATTTGCATACAAGCTTGGAAACAGAAGCAAAGCTCTAGTTTGTTAACAGCTAAGCGGAAATACTGCTGCATAAGCAAATACCATGCAACTGAAGGAGGCAGAGAATGGAAATAGCCTTTGGCTGCTACCTCAGGTTTCTGGTGCGCACCAAGAGACAAGGAGATAGAACTGTTCAAGGATCACTTTAAGCTGTGCAAGCTGATAATAATCTCTAAAGGCCCATAACATATCAGTGTTCTCTAGCAATCTGGAACAATACCTTCTGATCCCAACATGAATGATGCCAAAACAAGGACAGTCAAGCAGCTCGTGCCAGCTTTGTGTCATCTGAGAACAGCGTGGGCTCAAGAATGCCTGCGAGGCCAAGGTCTGACTCCTGCTGTGGTTTGGGTAGGTTTCAACTCCTTGCAAGAACAAGGTATTTTGGGAGAGCCTTCATGCTAAAATGAAGTTTCTCGGAGTGGGGGCAATCTGGGAAGCTGGAGGGATCACGCATTAAAATGGTACTCTTCAACTCCTCTGCAGATTATGTTTTCATGAAGGTCTTAAGTCAAAGATATTTAAAATATTAAGTCTGTTTTTATTCTGGTCAGTTTGGTGAATTCAGCTGAGTTTGAAGCAGATACAGAATAATCCTCACAACTTCTGATTAACTGAACAAGTTGAGATACGGCTTATGCAGAGAACAGACTTAACAGACTTCCAGAGCTGGAACCACCTTTTCACTTCACACTTAGTCCTTCAGAACAGCCTCAGGGAAGCCTGAACACTGCCCACGCCCACTGCTTCTTATGCCAACGGGCTGCTTGGGACTGTGCTGAGGCACTGCTCATCTGGCAACTTTCACGGGCACTAATTAAAAAAACACAACTTTTACGCTGCAGTCATGATAGAGTTCACATGCTGTATCAGCGCTGCTCATCTGACTCCCCAGTGGATACAAGAGATGTTGTGTAAGAACACAAATATTACTTTTTCTACTACTATGTAAGCCTGTTACTACATATAGCAGTTGTACATAGTACTGACCTAATTACAACCTTATTCTCACGTAATAATAATATTAATCGCATGAACTGGTACAGAAGTTCCCCAGCATCTTATCTGTATTACTGGATTCAGGATTATGGTCAGCTATGTGTAAGCGGTTTCTAGGGCGTTGACTGGCCCAGACTTAATTAGATTTTATTTTTAATATGGCAATATCATAGAGAGGTAAAATAAACCTCTGCGTTATGAAATTAGCTGCTACACTGCAGGCACCCTACAGAAATAAGCGATTACCTCATTTACTAATGACCCGTGAGAAACAAACTCCATATGTATGTTGTTTCTTAGCTACTGTTCTAGAAAGCAGCTCAATCTATTAACTGAGCACAGTAAATACCTAATTAAATTAAATCTCCAACAAGCCTGAGAAAAATGTATTGAAAGCACTCTGCTTGATTACAGACATTGGTCTAAAGTAACAGACCTATTGATCTGGTCAACTTCAAGCTTATTCGCTTCACCCAATTTAATTTGAGAAGAACAATAACTAAATTTTAGTTGGAGCTCCTTTCCCACTCTCCAGGGAAATAATCTGAAGTGACTCTGAGTTCAGGTGGCATACAGAAAATATTTAATAGGGCAAAGAAAACATTTATTTTGTTGCAACTATGGACACAAAGTTACATTAAAAATGCAAATACGGTTTCCAGTGCAACAATTACATAGTGTTGCTGACAGGGCCACATGCCATGAACAAACTTCTCTGGTGGGGGCAATAAACCAGTTGTTCTGCAAGTTCAGGATGATATTAAAAACCATATTTCAATAAATTCCTCTATAGGTGCAAACCAAATGAAAACAATGGGGGAAAAAAAACCCTGCCAGCTTGTGCCTGAATATAAAGGCTGCTTGATTTTGTTACGCCAATCCAAAATTAACCCTTTGTCTACTGGGCAAGACACCTATCCAATCTGTCCGAGAAGAACCTCCTTAATTAAAGAAGAATGAACATTTAAACTGGCTTGCTGTATACGAAAGACAGCTCACAGTCTCTACAGAGCAATTCAAGACTTAGCCTCTCCAGGGTCAGTGGTCTGAACACAGTTCAGGTCAGCACCGTCCCACTGCTGCTATCATCCGACAATTGCTCTAGCCACTTACACGAGGCAAGCTGATGACCTCAATTCTGTTTCCACCAGAGATGCTTCCGTAACAGAGAGACATCAGTAACACATGCATCCCTGCTAACAGTTCCAATAGACAGGCCCGCAACTGCTGGATCGGCATGATTAACACACTATCCTTTCAGTCCCAGGCCCTGCCTATGCTAAGGAAACTGTGAAACACTCAGTAACATAGCCAATACCTGCGTGGCTCCACAAATGCTTGGTTCAACGCGGATTCCCATACAGACTGACAAAGTCAAGCAGTGTCTGTATACACAGAACTGAACAGCATTTTCCTCATCATCTAACCCAACCCTCTGCTACTGCTGGCACCAGATAAAACATAACAGTTTTGTGCAGAGATACTAAGGCTAGCTCTAGAATTAATGCAGCTGTATGAACTGGGCCAATTAAAAGTACGCTTTTTTGCTTTCCTTTGGATACAATCCTAATGTAACAATCCTAGTTTTAATAGGTATCCCTGCATAGTCATACATTTCATTATACAAACATAACTTTAATATTTTAAAGCTCCATTTTCAAAGTAATTAGTCAGTAACCTTACTCCTTACTGTTTCTTCAGAACCACAATCCTCTTGTCTGTTAGAACTCTCATAGTCCAACTTCTGGCCTTATATAGCTACAAGTGGTTTATATTAATCTGTTCTTGCTCCAGTTTTGTCCCTAAGTTTGAACAGACATTAGCTCCCATTCTTTCTTGCTTTCTCCAGCACTTGGAAAGAGAAATCAAATTAAGGTTTTGCTTTGCCAAGTTGAACAAGACAATCTCTTTAAGCCACTTCTTCAAGCAAGCTGCCCATTTCTTTGACCATCTTCTACATCTTTTTTTGCCAATTTAAACTGAACATTTTCAAGTGTAAGAGATAAGAACTACATATAACATTCCAGATCACATCTCACCGCTCTTTATACAGGCCTTCCAATCTCTTACGGCAAGTAACTTATCTGGTACATCACAGGACTGAATTTGCCACCATGCATCAACTGCTCACCCATGCTGATCCCTGAGGGTACAAACACCAATTCTTTCCCCTTTTTTGTTTTTTAACTGAGGAGTTCCTGGCTGTCAGCATAAATTCTTGTTACCAATACTTTAAGCACCTTAACTTGCATTCCATACTTCTCAAAATTTAAACCTTTTTCTATTAAATCTACCCTCAATGCCATCTATTTTTTTCTTGTTTGATATCCCAATATCGATCTGTATAATCTGCAGTGTCAATATCTGCATTTGCGTAAGCGAATTTCACAAGCACATGCTTCTACTTTCTGCCTGCTTGTCCCCCCGGCTCCCTCCAATCCTGCAATAATTCACCAGGTGCATAAATGCTACTTCTGTAGCTCAAGGGGTAGTACTGCCTCTGTTCAAAAAGAAGTGTCACTGTAAAACCAGTCCAAAAACTTGAGGACTGAAAACAACTTATACTTACGGTATACGACAAAACTAAATTTTACAACGGAAAAGTTGAAGTGGTCTGTTTTAGAAACACAGTATTTGCATAAAAGGTCGATCTGCTGCCAGTAGCTAAAGAGCAACACTTCCAATAATTTTACTAAGATACAGTGGTCTAAATTCAATTCACTCAAATTGAACACAAACTTGAAACTGCCTGTTTTAAAAAAAAATTATTTCATATCTAACCAAAACCATGCAGATTTAACAGGGACAAAGCTAACAAATTTTAAAAGTTACAGAGATTGAGGTCACGTTCTTGTGGATCTTTCATCTTTTTTGTGAACAAATTTCCAGTTTTTTTTACTTTGGACTCCACACAAAGCACAAGGCCTTTATCTGACCTTGCAGCATCATAAAATGTAGACAGGGAAGCAGGACATGGCTGGGACTACTCATTGTTCAGTTCTGAGAATTATTACCCACTGACAGGAGTCCTGTTCTTTTTCTTTCTCCTAATCACAAATTGAATTCCCATCAAAAACAAAGAAATATTTGTTGTTTACAGGGGAAAAAAAAAGCCTCACAGGAAAATTCACTAAATGAACATCTGCTTTCTCTATAGACAAGTCACATATGCTTCCTTGGAGATGAATATCAGGTTTTCTGTTAACACGTGATTTCTGACATCAGGTTGCTGTACACCTTGGCTGTTCATCACACTCTTTTTCACTTATGTTCAGTTTTGTCCTAGTTCTGTAATTTGTATAGCTCAACTTTAAAAACAAAAAGCCCTACAAGCAGTACAGGAAGCGAGATTAAAGAGAAGCTTGTTCTGGTGACAAAATTATACAGGCTAGGAGGAACAAGAAGCCATCATCTATGCAGCAGCCTTACCCTTCTACGCAGTCTGTCCCTTTCTTCACGAATAGCATTCATGGTGGCCTTGGTCCTGTTCAGCTCCTCCTCTTTGCTACACAGCATGGCTGTGAGGCTCTCATTCTCTTCCCGCAAGCCAGCTAGCTCCTTTTCCCATCGAGATCTCTCTTCAGATAGATTTGGATAAAGGTCACGTCCCAGTACACCCTCAATCTCTTCTACAGTCTGCAGAAATACAGTCATCAAAAACCAGAAAGCAGCAGAGAAAAATGATTGAACAAGACTAATGGTAACAGGACAGAACTGTGTAACAGGCAACTATATATACTTATACGTACACTCCCAGCCCCACAACACCATTAGTTTGCTTCTTTTGTTTGATAAGTAATATCAAACAAAATTATTGTTTATTTTGTTTGACAGTTTGACCATTTTATTAAAATATTTCATACTGATCAACACCAAAGCAAATTGATGATTCATATGCAAATAAAACATGTCCCCCGTGAGTGACAGCAATCCCACTAGTTTTGCCTCAGAATACTTTAAAACAAATTAATGACTCCTTGTCACGGGTGAGCACTGTGCTTGTTGCTTCCCTGCCTGAGTAACAGGCAGAAAGTAGCAGCCTATGAATGTGCATGGCATGGGGCCTTTCTTAGTTCTAGACTGACTCCACAAAAGGGCAAGGAAAAGAGTGGGACAGTAAAAAAAGAGGACTTTTCTTTCCCATGTCCTTGAGCATGTTCTTTCCTAGGGGTGACAGAGAGATAAATGAAAGAAAGCTGGCCTTGGCTAGGCTTACATTATACCAGAAGACGTTACAGCCTTTCTAGCACCTAAAAAAGGCTGGGTTTCTCTGGGACATATAATGCCATTCAGCATTTCCCGCCCATCCCCTTGCTCAGAACGGTGCCTCGTAGGCACCGTTCAGCACGGAGGATATTCAGCAGCTTCCACTGGGTGAAACTAAACTACACGCACACGCCACCAGAAAGGGAATACTGCTATGCCTAAACTTACCGTCAGACTGGTCATTCAACGTGTTGAAACACAGCATAACACTCAACGTGTCAGGTAACTATGTGCAGTTCTGATTCTACTATACAGCGTATGCTGTGCCTGTGTTAAATTTTTTCCCTTATGGAAGACCTTTGCAACAAGCAAAACCCCTCCAATTGTTGCTTATAAGCTTTTGAATCTCCCTGAAAGCAGTCTGCATTAAAATGGTAGGAAGAAACATGGAAAATAAATGAATATACAATGTAACTAGCAACCTAGAAGATTTCATTTCATTGGATAATCCAAGAACAAATTACAGCTAAAGCCTATACTTTTAAGTTCAATATGGAAGATAAGTAACTCATGTACCAAGGTTAAAAATAGTCTACTTAGTTGTTTTATTCAAAAGGACTTAATTTTTATATATAACAAAGATTACTAACAGAAGTTTATGTCCTTAATTTGGGAGGGACTGGAAGAACCAACTGGAGTACAGCTGAAAATGACAAACCAAGTTGAAAATATGACTCTGTTCTGCAAGAAATCTTCCCAGTGTTTTCAGCACTGTCTGACACTGTGAGGTATCAGTGAAATTTTATTATTTATCCATTCTAATGAGAAGTTGGTTATTTATTGTTATCAATACATTAATCTTAAAGAATAAATCTTGGCTGCAGCAAGACTCCTTAGTGAGGAGGAAAAGACACTCATACAAGAGGAAAAAACCTATTTTTGACAACTAGTTCAAGACGCCTTTATGAAAGAAGCAGGGACAAGACTTCTGCAATCAGGTTCAGTGTATCCTTTTAAATCATGTTTCATGTCTCTCTTCCATAAAACTGCAATACATTTAGAGTCACAAATATAAAACTCCATTGACAGAGTATCTACGCTACAATTCTGCTTCCATATTTGGTAGTAAGCTTAAATTACTCTTCTAAAAGAGCAATGCCTTGCAACATCTCTGTAAGTTGAAAGAAGCCGCAGCTCTCCCTTACTTTAGTTTCACTTGGACCTATAGGTCTCAAACTATGACAAGGTAAGTTATTTCAACACAACATGAGGATGAGTTCAAGTTCTGAATAAGCATAGGGCGGTTAATCTTACAACGTGAAGAAAAGCTCTGTACTGGCAGGAGCATTCTCTCTTGATGATGCCAGCTTTATTTTAAACAGTGCCTCTTCGTTGCTGTCTTCTCCTCTCCCTTCTTCCCCCAAAACTCCTCTCCTCTTTCATGCACTTCCCCTGCTGTTTCCTCACCCCTCTTATGCCAAGTTCTGCTGCTGCCTCCTTCCTCCTTATTCCCCAAGCTCCTAGTGTTGCTATTTTTCCAACCCCTCCCTTTCCCAAGTCTCTTCTCCTCCTCAGAGCACTACTGAGGGTGATAAGCCTGGAGCAACACTGAAAGAGGAAGGACTGTCATGAGGAAGCAGCAGCAGTGCCTCAACATCACAGAGGTATCTTCAGACAGAGAGGCCGCTGCTGTTTCTCCAGACTCCACTGCTACCATCTGCCCACACAAGTACAAAGTTCAGGCACTGACAGCATCAGCATGGGTCTGACAGTCAGACTGAGGGCTGCCCTATAGCCCTTCACAAAGCTGAGGGATCTTTCTGCTTGCTTCTGTGCTCCTTCATTTTGATGTGATCAATATCCTTTTGCTGACTAAACTATTACCACAATTCTCCAGTCTGATGACCAACATGCTACCATCCTCCATGGTAAATAAAACATAAATATTGTACATGGATATATCTACGTAAACTACCGGGTTGTTTATTTTTCTTCAAAGCAGTATTACAGAGCAGTTTTATCCAGCATGCTGCTGCACAGCAGATAAATTCAGGTATAATTTCACAGATTATAGGATTGAATTACAATGTAATGTTCTGAGCACAGGGCAGGATGTCATAACATGGCAATTCCAGTCTAGTCTCTGACACTGCCATCAGTACTCTCTGCCTCAGTTTCCTTACAAGAGGTGTTGTGTTACAGACGTGATATCAGATGAAATCAGCAAGTATCAGGTTTAAAAGAAGCAAAAAGCAGCATTTTTTCACAAGGCATAACTCAATGGTAGGATTTATTCATACCAGAATTTGTGGAGGCCAAAAATTCAGACAGGTTGAAAAACACATTAGATACAAACATGGAAGAAAATTCCACCCATGACTATTAAACACAAAGACATCATCTCTGGCTCAAGAAGTTCCAGAACCCACCTTGCCAGAAGCAGCTTTGAAGGAAGGAGAATAAGGACATACTACACATGTCCTTTTTGATGCAGTCTTTCCATTGGCATCTGCCACTAGAGAGACGGACTTTTGGTCTGACCCACTGCAGCTGTTCTCATGTTCTAAATGGTTCATGTTTGGAAATATTTACATCTTTTTTTAATTGGTAGAGTTTTAGTGGTAGGTATCTGTTACTGATAGTTATTTACTCTTCAAAATACATGAAGCATTAACCAGCCTACTCTGTGGAAATCTTCTTAAACAAAGGATAGTTTTCTAACTGTTCACTTTATCAGACAATCTGATAAATCTCATTTCAAGGTCTTTTCATTCTTTGTGGGACAAAAACAATTGAGCTGAAACACATGATTTATATAACAGAAGCAAAAAAAAAAAAAAATTTACCAGCAACAGCATTGAAAGAAACCCAGTGAAATTTAACCATCAAACCAGAAGGATTCAGAACATTAAATGCATTAGTCCCCTAGAGAAGAAAAAAGCCAACAGTCGAAGCAAAAGACAGTCAGAATATTTGAGGTTTTCATTCATGATTCCACCTATTTTAAAAATCTCTCAGTTCTCTCTCTGAGGAAGCAGGAAAGAAGAAATGACCTGCAGCCATGGGAGGAATCGTGGAGAGGGGCTCTACGTGTAGGTTTTGCTATATTAAACACATTGGTGACACACCAGCACATAATCGGAGCATGTCGGAGAGATTTGTATCTTCCTGAAAGGGTAATAACCTTTGCATGCTATCACTTGTCAAACAAAAACAATCCCAGGCTCTACAGAACAGGCAGTGGGGAAAAGTTTTCCCCAAAAATGGCTACGCATGTAGACATCACATGAAAATAAAAGGCCTGCTTTTTGGACCAGGAAGGAGCTGCTGACAGTTACTTACCACTGTAAAAGTTTGATTGCAGTTACCTTCAATCAACAGTAAACAATGGGGTTAAAATAAAAAGCATGAGAATTAAGCTTATGGCAGCTATTTTGACATTTTGTTGAATCCACCTCCTGCAGCAGTTTTCATCTCATCTTTCTTCAGAGACCTCTGTGGACCTCACACAGACCAATCTCTACCTGTTTTCCAGGATCCACAATCTCTCTCTCAGTGAAGACTGACTCTGAGAACACTTAACCCTAAAACTCCAGATAATACTGGGTGACATTCAAAGTATTGATCCTAATCCTCTGAGACACTCAGATAAACTGCTTTAAGACCGTTCCCAAGAGACCCAGAAGTCAGTCTCTCTCTCTCTCTCTCTCTCAAATATACCCACATTCTTCAAACTACTGCTCAACATTAATTGCTTTATAGGCCATTATATTCCTCAGGCACCACCAGGGACACAGGGGACCTTTCCCAGTAGCATGCTAAAGGGCTGTCTAAGCCTTTAGGGGAGGTAACAAGACCTCCCCACTTCAAGAGCAGACTGTCAATTTATTTGTTCTGACATAAATGAGTCACTGACACCTCTCCATCTGACACAAACAACTTAGAATCATAGAATCATTTAGGTTGGAAAAGACTTAAGATCATCGACTCCAACCGTAAACCTAACATTGCCAAGTCCACCATGTCCCTAAGCACCGCACTTACATGTCTTTTAAATACCTCCAGGGATGGTGACTCAACCACTTCCCTGGGCAGCCTGTTCCAATGCTTGACAACCCTTTCGGTGAAGAAATTTTTCCTCATGTCCAATCTAAACCTCCCCTGGCACAACTTGAGTCCTTTTCCTCTCGTCCTATCACTTGCTACTTGGGAGAAGAGACGGACACCCACCTCGCTACAACCTCCTTGCAGGCAGTTGTAGAGGACGATAAGGGCTTCCCTGAGCCTCCTTTTCTCCAGGCTAAACAAGCCCAGTTCCCTCAGCCGCCCCTCATGAGACTTGTTCAGCTTTTTCCCTGTATATAGCAAGACACTCTACAGTTCCCTCACTTTCAGGCTCGGAATTGCAATCGCTTCATTACATGTGCTATCAGGCATCCCTCTTCTTGTTCTGTTACATGCACAATAAAACCAAGACATACAAGTACCAGTTGAATTATTTGTTCCTGTGTCTGGCTCGTCTCACTAGATTTAATATACTACACATGCTTTGTGTTAAATACTAGCCTCACATTTTAAGACAGCAAAGTCACAACTTACGCACAGTTTATGGCATTTTATCTTCAAATTTCAGCCAGTATTACATATTGTGTTTTCAGTTACCGGTCAATGACTAGCTGTGTGACCTTGGGCAAGTGACAACTTGTTTGCTGGATAACCTTCAGAAAGTAAATTAACTGCTGAGTGTTCCCATTTCTGTTATCTCTGAAATGAGTATAAGACAAATACATTTCTGATTTGTGATCAAAAGTCTATTAGTAGCTCCTCCTGTGCCTTGGGGAATTCAGCGTAAAACAGGTGTACTACTGCTTACCCAACACACACTGTGAGCTGGAGCTGATTTCTGTGAAGTACTTTTACACCTTTGGAAGTAAAGTGCTATTACTACAGAATGTGATCAGCTGTCTCAGGCAAAGTACACACTGCATTTAGAACCTAATATTACCGTTACCTTAATGGCTAAATCACAATGTTCACTGGCGGTAGTGAGTTGTTCAATATGTCTATCCACTTCTGCTACCGATAAGCTGCAGCTGCTTTTCTTCCTCCCGCAGACAACATTTTCCAGACCTGTCAGCACTCTTTGCAGTTCTGAATTCAAGTCACTACAGTTATCTAAAAGAAAGCAAAACAAAACAAAACAAGTATCGCAACAATTAGTGACTCAGTGAAAAAACAAACTCTAACCCAGGAAGTGCCTGTTGCAGGACAGCTAGGACTGATACTGTTCAAGGAACGTCCTGGCTTGCAATCTGCCACTTTTTCCTCACCAACTGATAGGCTTAAATACCATAACCACATCAACTGAAAACATGAGTTACCTCCCATCTGACAAATAACACTCCCCCTACTTATCTGAAGTGCTCATTCTTTCTTCAAAACCCTCTCTTTTCTGAAGGGCAACGTTTTAAGACACCACATGCTCACATACTATGCCATTTCTTTATTGTTGTTATTTTTGCCATTCAGGGCCTATTATCCTGATTTTGTTACCCTCAAAGGTTTTTCTCTGTAAATTCAACATTTTTTCTGCCTGGTACATTCATTGACATTATGACTTGACATTTTTCAGAGGAATTTTTCTGGTTCTACTTATGCACTGCCTGATTTAAAAAATCCTGGTGTTTACAGAAATGATCCCTACTGACTATCTTAGAGCCTATGTTTCATTTTTATAGCTATTTCTTCTACAAATGCAACTACAGAATATTCAGGGATCATAACAGCACACCCTTGTTCTTTGCTATGTTCCATACCACAACCATATTATCAGCATATACAACAACGCTATTTTAATTATAAAATGGGGCAGAGAATCGCTTCCTTTTCCGTCTTTAGGCAAAGCTCTTCTAGTGCCTTGGTCCCTGCCACAGCGTCCTCCATTCTGTGAAAACAAGTGGGTCTCAGTACCTTGCTAGCTCACTTCATGAATTATTTTTGTTTTTCTTAGGCTCACATCTGGCAACAGACAGTGGCAGTGTCTCCTAAGGGAGACACGTGGTAGAATTCACCCTTGTGCTCTCTTTCGGATGTGCTAGTTAGTATTTCTGGCTTAGTAGTTAAGTGTTTGCAATAACTACCAACTGTACAGCACACAAGTGGTGCACTATGAGACAGTGCACCAGCAGTTCCTATACCTCACTAAAAACAGTGGCAGGCATTCTTGCTGGAGGGTGTTATTTCTGTACTACTGCTGCAAGAGTTTCACCATGGTCAGAATTCCCTAGTAGCCTCACAGCTGTGGTTCTTACAGGGGACTAAAGCAGTGTGGCATTGAACTGTCACTGAAATTTAACAGACATGAGACACCAGATTATTGTAGACTGCCTTGAAATCTCTCTGTGCAAGAGAAGACTGAAAGTGGTTGGATGAAGGGATGAGATGGTCAGAAATTAAAAAAACTATAAACTTGTTCCCACAAATCTAACTCCACAGCCTAATGCAGATAAACATGAACCTATTGCTGACCAAAAAGAAGATTTTAGAATGATGCCACAGGATTGGATGAAAAATGTGAATGGGCAACACATACAAAACTTTACTCTTGAATTCATATTCACTAGGTCCTGACTAGCAGCCACCCATCTGTTGTAGTAATTCCAAAAACCCCTTTATAATAACACTCACTTATGAGCAGCAGATACCATGCAGGATGCTTAATTGTAAAAAACTCTGTTTTGTTGGCTTGAACTTATTTGTTTCCATAACATCTTCTATAACAGACATTTTGTCCATTTAAACAACCTTCACAGGACCTTGTATGCCAAGTTTTGTTCCTACAATAACATTTTGCCCAGAAAATAAGAGTTTACAATAACGAGAACACCATTTCTCACAGAAAACCAGTACAACCCAATCACAAGCTCTGCAAGACATACTGGAGAGCATTCATAGTTTTAGCTCTTGGTGTTTTATTGCCTGTAGCAATAGAGCAGCATATCCACATGCATTAGTGTATCACGACGTATTATTTAGTCACTGATGTTCATTCCATTAGGGCAGTAAGCAAGGTCATGCACACGGTTATTAGGTCACGATTTTTTATCCTTATATACCTATATCTAGAAGGATAAAAAAAATATATGAATTTGTATATATATATGTGTGTGTGTGTACACACAGATGTATATACAGACAAAAGGATTTTTTTCCACAAGAATACGGAAACAAAACCCAAAAAGGACAGAGTCCATGTAAAGAAGGAAAACATGGAAACAATGCAAGAGTCCCTAGAGTTAACATTCTTATTTTGTCCGTTGCTGTGTTTCATTTTATTGCCATGTTTCCCACTGTTAGCAGAAACTCAAATGGATAATTTGCTGCTAATGTACACAAACCCTGCTTCAGCTCCAGCCCATGAAGAACAAAATCAAAGCCCTAACCCCAAAATAAATGCTGCAAAGTAAATTAGTTAGAATTTTTTTTGCCAAAAGAAAGGAAAAAAAAAGGAAAGAAAATTGAAGAAAAAAAAAGTCCTCATGTTAGAATCTGTTCAGGTAGGAACTTCATAATAAGCATTAACTTTTGAAAGTAAAAACATTCATTTTTTAAGAATAGAAAAACCTCTACTAAAATATCTTGACTCCATACAATGTTTTGTTAAGTATACTTTGAATTCAGTATGTCAAACACTTCGCGAATACATTGTTATTAATATTGTTCTATCAAAGTTTCCAGAAATTAAAGACACTGAAATACAAACGTTCTGTGGCAGGGCTTGCATTCATAAACAAATAGAGCTCCAGAGCTGGTGTATTCATTTAAATTTAAGAAATCATACAGAAAATCTCTTTTATATGGTTGCTTACAGTATCAACATGTTTTCTACATTACTAAACTCCACTTGAGGGCAACAAATACTATGCCCAAAAGCCATCCTACTCTCAGATCCATTCCTCTAAAAGGCACTGTACTGGAAAAAAAACAGCAAAAAGTTCTCATTAATGAAGTGCACTGCTCCAAACAACTGGAAACTGTTTTAACACAGTTTCTTATGTATGGAAGCAAATATTGTCTGTTGCATTATAACCATCAAAGCCTCATGTAGAGTTAATAGCTTAATATTTAAGGATCACAAGTTCTGCAACAGGGCTTAAGACTGCTATTTCAACGATTTCCTAAAACACTGCTCGTGTACAGTATCACCCACAGAAGCTCCCAGGCACCCAGCTAGTTTACCCTAGGGATGAAAATGGAGACCAACTATTTGCTTTTAAATATAAATTAAGAGAAATAGTATTCTGAAGAGAATTCTGGAAATCAGTCATAGTGAGGATTGCACCAGACTTCTGCTAGTCTACAACTATGGTGCTCAGCAATTGTGCCCAAACACTTAAAACATTATCATACTAAAGACCTAGTGTCTGCTCATGCTTATTTTGCAAGCTTTATGGAGTAATTATTCCATACTTGGAGGTTCTTCAAATGACCAGTAATTGTGCTTGGATGACAAAATAGATGAAATTCTGAAGGAATTTCTGAAGGAATGATGCTTGCCCTCTTAGTTCTTAGCAGAAAAAAACAGTTACAGACTGTCTGGAGGTGCTCCCTCCTTGCACTGTATTTGAACAACTTGTGTCAGATTTGTCCTTGTCTAAATCCATTTCAGCAAACTATCCTTATTCCACATTCTCCATTTTCAAAAAATGCAGATATCCTTTATCATTAAGCTGTAAAAGAACTGGACAGACAGTTCCATTCACCACGCTTTTCCCCCCAGCTTTCATTGTGTCTGCAATTATTTTCTAGAGTTAGACTACTTTACAGGCACATGTAAGGTACGTGAATAGTTATTTCCCCCTTTTCTTTCCCAAAAGTCATGAGCTCTCCTGAACAATCATTCCATTTTAGACTCCATAGCTATTCTACATCAAGGCACAGAAGTTACTTCACATATAAGTTCATAGCTATGGAGAAGTTCAGCACTTGTGATTAATACAGCCTAGATTCATATATTTCCTCACCAAATGTTTGGATTTGCATTTCAAAGGCTATGATGCCTTTCTGCTCAGAGAAGGCATGATGTCTGCTAAGAAGCATAACTCACCCACGTCTGCAGTGACCATGGTGGACTGATTCTCTGGTACCGAAACAGAATTCTGGTCCATGCTGCGTGAGTCTTCGTTAACCTCATGCTGGCTTTGGCTGAGCTCTGACCGCAGCTCTGAATACTCATCTTCCTCCCTGGGAGAGAGAGCAAAGGCAGAAATAAAATCCTCTGAGGAAGTAAGTATCTCTGCGACACTTATTTCAGACCTCTAAGCTGAGTCACAGGATACAATCCACACAAGTATAAGTGTTTTGTCCAGCCAGTAGAGAAGGGTTTATACCCTTTACCGCAAAGCAACTGTGCTATGCCCGTAACACCCACTTGCAGCAGCCAGTGCCTGGTTTCCATTTCTTTATTCCCAAGTTCGTTATTACTCCAGACCACTGTACAAGAAAACAATGCATGAAACAGTGCAAGCAAGGACGCGTGCAAGAAGGACACTACTCTGCAATAACTCCCCAACTGACAATTCCTGATCAGCACAAGTGGCTTTTGATCCCAAAGTGGATTAGCAATAACCGATTTTGGTCTCCTTCTCAGTTCAAGGATGCCATCGGCTTCTGTGCAAAGCAAGCGTGCACGTGCACATACCTGCATATGTGTATGAAAATGCTCTTGGGAACAGGTAGGTTTTTCATTTTCTCTTCTCAAAAGGAAGAGAACAGATAAGTGAGTATAGCGCTGAACTACTGGAGTTAGTGGAAAACAAAAAGCCTCAATTACCTAGGTTTTAACTTATTTGTCAAGCTGGTTTTACTAAAATAATTGAGGACACAGAATATTTAGCTAAAGCGAATGAGCTTAAAAAAAATAAGGGCTTTTCCCTCCTGTCTCCACACAAAGAGTTCAAAGCACTGGGAAAGAATAATAGCTTTGCCTGAGAACATTTGTAAACATTTTTTCTTTTGATCCACTCGCTGATTTGACTCGGAATTTTTTTTTTTTTTACTTCCATAGTGACTGTTTTGACATTAAAGTACGTATTTTAAACATGAGAAAAACATCAGCTTATTCAGGTGCAGAGCCTCTCTGATAAGTAAGCAAACAGCCATCATGTTACACACTAAATCAAATGCAGAGATACGTTTTGCTGCAGATTCAGCAGAAAAGTGTGAGAATGGAACTGTCTGGATCTGGAAACAATAAGAAATAGCAAAGAGCTATCTGGGGATCTGCATCTGGGAGGGGCACCTGTAATGTTAAGTCTGCTGTGTGTATGCTACATGGTGATGAGTGTTTCTTGCAGAAATATTGCAGGATTTAGCCTGAAGGTGTGTCTGGATTTGCCAGGCAAAGCAGCAGAGAAGATGGTCCATACGTACAGGGAACAATGACAGAAGTAAAGTCTGCTTTCAGAGTAGCAGAGGTGACAATATATGAACCAGGCCAATTCAAAAAAGGAATTTCAGCTTGCTTGCCAAGCAGCATTTCCCAAGGTACTGAGATGTAATTTCTACAGGAACTATTATGCTCTTTTACCCCTTACATTTGCTTCAGTGCAAAGAAAGTCTGACTTTATCAGAAGCACTTAGTGACTATTATTAAACAAAAATGCAGGTCAGCTGGTTAAAATTGAGATTTAGATCAAAGAAAGGTCTTTAAGGTACCATGCAATACAGGTTTAAGAAAGTGTGAGAATTAAATCATAAATAGCAGGAATTAAAACAGTGTAATGAAGACACATAAGCATGAGTTAATGTTCCATGAACTTGTTTATTATTAGCCACAGCACAAGGCAGTAGTAATTAGCTTTAGACAAAAACAATTACCAAGCATTCAAGCAGTTGCCTTTTTTTGATCTGAAGGTAATTCATTTTTTCATTTAAGAAACAATTAGTCCTACATTTTTAAAACCTGAATTACCTCTACAAATGGACAAGAGGCTGTGTTGATCATAAAACAATGCCACACACAATAGTAATTTCTCATCACTCTTCTTTTGGCTCTTGTTGCATAGATTTCCTGTTTAAAATCCAACACAGCTTCATTTAGCTAGCACTAGTGCTGTTTTTTCAGTTTAAGCACCCCCGGTATCTTGGGGCAATTGAAAAGTATGTCACGTGGCAGGACTCACACCATTCTGATGCCTCAAGCCAGAAGTCAGTTTCTGAATGAACTAATGCTTCTAAGACCTGACCAGAAAGATCAGAAATCCATTTCTGGTAAAGTGACAGCAAGGTCAATTGGTCTCTCCGCCACCAGACTCATAGGGGGCAGACCGAGGGCTAAAAACACAAGGGGGAATTCGAGGGGAGCGATGCACCACAAATACAAATTCTGCATTTAAAACTGAAGTTGGCAGTAGCAGAAGATACTGTTTGAGACTCCCCTTTCCCCAAAACAGGACAAGAGTCCTCCAGTGGCATTGGAAATGCAAGGCACTCAACAGCTGACGACGACTAGCCACTGAACTCCTGCAACACCACCCAGAAGGTGAAGGCATTACAACTTCCTTGCTGCCTCCATCATCTAAGGCCTCGCTGGAGAAAGCAGATATTTGTTTTCCTATGGGCTCTGATGGTTCCCAGTTGCTGGAATGTCATGGTGAGTTGGAGGCAATTAAGATCAGATCAAGCTGTTCTAAACACAGAGTGGCCTAGTGTCGACGTTGGAGCAAAACCCTGTGTTCTACAGGTGGGTCTGCACTTACTGCTTTCCTCATATTCAGGTGCAACCAAGGATCACAACTGCTGCACAGACACTGAGAAAAACTTGATCAAATAGTGAGCAAAATGGCACACTTTCAGCATCCTTTCACACCACTGACGAGTTCTGCCAGGATGCTGGCAAGGTGCACATTCTCTTCACGGCTGCAAACAGTGCATAGTTTCACACTTTAGGTGCCAGTAGTTTTTCAACAATCATTTTACTTGAACAATTATTTTTAAAGCATTCTAAGACCCTCAGATAGAAAACACTACAGGTGTATGTGCACTGCAACCCAGAGATTGACTGCTCCCTGTGTATACACACTTGAGGTCCCTCTGAATTAGTTCACTTGTGAACAAATAGTGACACACTTGAGACAACACGGGAATTTATCACTGAAGGCAGGTGGGGCTGGGCATTGTATGCTGAAGCCAACACAATCACACCCACACTGCCATTTGAACTGAATCCAAGTAGCTTCTACCTAGCACATATTTAGAAGCTAGAATCAGACCTCCAGGTCACTGTGTAAGTATGACTATAAATGCCATGTGTTATTTCTCATGATGCTGTAGTCTATTCACTCTCCTGCTTCCTCATTAACTCCAACACAAGCTACTTTCTGAATATATTTCAGATTAAAAGCTGTTAAGTCTGAACAAATGGTTTTAGAGCAATGGGTTACAAGCTCCTTGACAACTGTTTCAAATAATCCTTAGCAGGCACCAATATTCCACAAAGTGTATTTCTGTTTGGTATTGTTAAAGTTGCTTATTATTTTTAGATGTTGCACAGATGTACCCAAACCAGCCACTGGTTTAGAACTAAAAGCAATTTGTTCTCTTGCTTTTTCCTTTTGCTGAACCTCAATTTGACATTTAAGAAAGACTGTCAGTCATAGGCCGAAGTTGTTTCTACACAACCAACATACAGATGATTTTGCCAGCCAAAGACATGACCAAGAAAAAAAAAGAGTTGAGTTTGAATGAATCTAAGCTAATACTAAAAACTTTTGAAGTCAGGAATATTCACCTTTAACATAGACATAATTCCCTTTTAGTACACTACCGTGTAATTTATAAATGCTTTCTGTGCTTCAGAGTTATCAGGTGTATCCTTTATGTCCAGGGGGGTAGATTTAGACTAGATATAAGGAAGAAATTTTTTACGCTGTGGGTGGTGAAACACTGGCACAGGTTGCCCAGAGAGGTGGTGGATGCCCCATCCCTGGAAACATTCACGGTCAGATTGAACGGGGCTCTGAACAACATGATCTAGTTGAAGATGTCCCTGCCCACAGCAGGGGGGTTGGACTAGATGGCCTTTAGAGGTCCCTTCCAACCCAAACTATTCCATGATTCTATGATGCTATGTCCAAGTATTGACAATATGACTCTACAATTGGGAAGATCCATTTGATTGGCCTTGCTGTCTTCTAAGTTGTACGCACTTGGAGAGAAAATGGGAGTAGGCATACAACTTGTCAAAGGACAGAGAACCTTTGCAATACAAAAAATTTGTCTTCTAGAAATAGAACAGCAGAAGTAGCAGTAACACTGCCACCGGCATCCAGTCAACATGCTAACAGGATCCCCAAGCTAGCATCACTCAGTGGAAGCTGTTCACTCTAGAAGAAGCTGACAAAATGTGCTCTGCATGATCATCATGGGCTCTTCTACCCAACAGTCTTGCAGAGTTTGACGAAAGCCTGTGACTTGAGTTTTACAACGAACTTAAGCAAAATACTAGCCGCCGCCTCCCACTCTCTCCCTAATAATGTAGACAAGAACACTGAGACACTGTCACACAATTACGATTTTCCAAGAAAAAACATAGCCAAGGTTTATGTCTCCAGACTGCTCAAATAAAAAAAGCATCCTCATCCTAGTGGACCACTTCTTTAGTGGAGTCTTTTTGCTTCCAAATTGCTACCTTCTTGAGCTGGTAGTGGGTAAATTCTGCATTGTCACACATGAAGAACTAGGCAAGCAAGAGGCTCGTCTACTTGCACAGTATGAGTATAGGCAACTCTCTTTTTAGCCTTAGTATCAAATCAGTTACAGCTCTATTTCAGCTTTTTTTTGGTGAGGTTGGGCTTCCAAACCAGCTGGGCTGTCCAGAGCAGCGGCAGGGAGATGAGACAATTGCAGATGAATGTTGGCTTGCTCCCACAACCATGGTGACCTCATTTTCCTTAGGGAATGCTGGAAGACCGTAGCGCAAGAGCAGCAGCTAACTTCATGTGGCCGCACACATGGAACTTGTTGTACCCAAGAAATGGCTAGCAAACAGAACAATCCTGGAAAATTCTAAAAAATACTCCTGTAAGTACTGTTACTAAGATCAGCATATCAGATATACCTGGGAAGAGGCACAGGCAGTGACATATGGCTTAAGCTCTCTTTTAGAGCTGGCATTACTACACCATGTGAGCAAAAGCCATTACACTTCAAGCTGTGTAAAACCCCCAGCATTGCAAGGGGAAAAAAAAAAAACCCGACAAACCCAGCAAAAAACAGAGAGAGAAATATTCTCAGAATGGAGAATATTAACTAGCTTACACAGCCTGCCAACACTCCTCAAACTGTTGCAATACCTTATTCAGATTTAAACACTCTTTATTTCTGCCCTACTTTCTGAGGGTTCTACTCGCATTCAAACAAAGAGCTACAAATTTAAAGATAATATAGCTTAAGCAGGATAGTCAAATACCCTCCATGAAACTTTTCGGTTTTGGGAGGAACCACGAAGAATACCAGAAAGCAGCAGTAGGTCAAGCTACATGTTAGTTTATTTTTACAGCCTAAAAATGATACATGAAAACACTGAACAATCTCTGTGTCACACTGGGGAAACATTTATCTGTTATGCAATTAATATAAACTCAAGGAAACTGTTTCCAGAAAGACAGCCTAAACTTTGTGATAGCACAAGTAAAGCCTCCACTCAGTATTACTTGCAGGTATCCAAGAGTCAGATCAAAACTGAAATCCCTCCTGTGTCTTGGTTTAGAGGAAAGTCTAAATGCCGAGGCCCTAGCAGGGCCGTGCTCCCACAACCCTTTCCCTCAGGACTGTTTTGTTCCAGCTCCTGGGCTCACAGTCCCCATAGCCAAGGGTGGAGCACTGTTGAGTCATACCTGTCCCAGCAAGGACAGCAATTACACCACCCTTGCTCTGTGGGATGGAACAACTTCTCAAGAGTGACACAAGTAGATCCCAGAGCAGATTTACAGAAAGTCACAGCAGGAAGCATCAGTTTTCCTTCTTTCAGTTGTCTTTACAAACCCTATGGAATCCCTCCAATTCTACCTCTGCTTGCCATTTTTAGGAGGAATATTACTCCTCTGTTCCCCAGACACCAAATTATTGGCCTGCCAAAGAAAACAAGCTATTCCAATCATTAAAGGAAATAAAAAATCCACTAACTTAATAAACATTTTTGTTCTTACTAATAAAACCAGGACAAATAAAACCAGAGGAGGCATCCTAGCTGTCTGAGCAAAACGAGCTCTCATACAGTAAGACCAAAGAGGTGGGGCACGACAGTGGTGTGGCACCTGTTGCAGCAGTAGTGGTCTGATGCCTTCAAAAGCCTGCACCCCGCAAAGGGGCAGCAAAACTGCACTTTTCGTGAGAAGCAGCATGCACTTCCTATCAAGCTCGGTTCTTATGCCTCACTTTCCTGTGCATGCCACAACTGACTTGCTTATGGACATGGTTAAACACTCACAGTATCCACCCGATTCCAGTATTTTGTAAATGAACACCACTTGGCATTTAGCTTGCCACAGGGACTCCAGACAAACAATTTTTAGGGATTCTATGTAATATTTTTCTTAAATGTCATAGAGTTCTTCTGCCATTCAAGAAAAAAATATCAATGCAGCTCTCATGCTTCTCAGATTTTGCTTTTCAACCTCTCTGTTCAATTGGTAGAGCTTTACCAGAGAGGAGGGTGGGATGGGCAGCCAGTACCATGCTGAAAAGAAAGGTGACTCGAAACAAGACGAATGGGAAGTTTGTCTGCAGAGGTATCAAGCACGAATGAACAAGGGAGTCGCAGGGATTTTTTCAGAGAAGTACCACCATTAGAAAATACTTACCTGAAAAATCTCACCATGATAATTGCTAGTTATGATCATCTCAGAGCTTGCAGTATTTATCTTCTCAAGTAACATTAACATAATGTGATTCTGTCACTGCTTTTATAGTGGTATACATGTGTGATGATACTTTCTTTTATTTATGGTACCCCAAACCTTTTTCTTTTTGCACATAAATATTTTCATGAAAGGTTAAGTGAGTAGTTGTAACAACATTGCCTTGTGCTAGTAGAAATGTTTACAAGGAAGAACAAATAAAGCAGTTATCAAAAAACTTGCAGCGAATAGGCAAGGAAAACTGAAAATTTGCTATGTGGGTAGAACACCATGTCAACATTACCTATGAAAGTGTCAAATCTAATTTGATGTTCTCTAGAAAATCCATAGATTCTCATAGTTTAGTTGCATCCTCACAAGCTAAACTTTAAGAAGCTCCTTCCTCGTTCTAGTCCAACTTTCTCTAGGTTGAGAATAATGGATAAAAGCAAGTGAGGAAAAATAAGTGTTTTCCTGTAGTCAAATGTAAAGTTTATTTTAACACAGTAACAGGTAATGACCTAGTGTAATACTCCATGCTTTGCTGCTCCAAGGACAGGCAACAATGTGATTTCTACCATTGTGTTCTGTCACAAACACCAGTACAAGTAGATGCAAAACCTACTGAAATCCATTTGAACCATATTTCTCACCACAAGTGATTTTACTTCGGTGATCAATAGGATGCCACAAAATAAAGTTAAAAGCAGAGGTGCAGGCTGGGTGGCTACATCTTCCTTTATCCACAATTGCTATCCCTTATCTGGTACCCTGGCACGTATGTTACACTAACGGAATATTTAGACGGCACAGTGCAGTTCTTTGCAGTGCTCATTAGGCTTTGCAAAGTGTGATTTTGCCAGAGAGAATGTAGCACTTTTCAGCCTCAGGTTTGAAAGATACTCTGCAGAACAGACACCTTAATTATGGGCAGCTAGCTACTCAGTACCAGTCATAACAAGCCTAACTACTGTAAAGTCATCATCAAATTATATTTAGAGTATAATTCACATCATGTTTTGCACCATTCTTCCATTGGCCCAGAATTTCCAGGAAGTTGCTGTACCTTATTGTTGTTCCCTGTAGTCGATCAATTTTCTTATTTAATTCAGCAATGATACTGTGCAGCTCTGTGATTCGTTCCTCGTAGCGTAGTGTTGTTCGCTCCTGCACGTCTTCGTGCTCTCTCATTAGGTGGGATTGTTCACACTAAAGCAGAGAAGCAAGGAACAGAAAGAGTCTTATGAATAACTGCACAGAGATCAGATACAAGGCAAAAGTGCACACCATTAATGGTTTTCTTACGCATCAAACCAACACTGCCTTAGCAAGAGAAAAGGACAGATGCAAAATATTGACAGGTACACAAAGGTATGTAATTACAAGATTTTAGGAACTGAAAGACTACGCAGTGTACTTTTATTATTATTTCTTTCTAAAGAGCAGAAGCTGCCCTTCCTACTTGAACAAAAAACGCCATCTGCAACTCAAAATAGCTATAAATATCTCATCTTTGAATCCGTGAGATTCATGATGCATCATGAATCTTCAAGGTTCTTCCCAACGTGGTCTGAATTAGAACAAGTCCTAAGGCAGACACCACATTATTATAAAGAAAAGCAACCACGCTTTGAGGTTATGACTTCTTCTCTAGCATGAGTATTTGTTTTTATTAGCCTTTAAAGATAACATAGCATATTTTTTATTATTTTAATCCTCTGCAATAAAATGCTTATTATTTGAACAATTAAAAGGCTACATGGCTGCTTGTTTTTTATACATATTATGAAATCCTCCTTTTTCTTTCCAATGCAACTTTAAATCCAGCCTCTCTGGCTTACTTTTCACACCAGCAAACACTCTACTTCAGTTACAGCAAACAATTACAATTTACCGTAATTACAATTCAACAGTGCATGCTGATTGAAGTTATGCTTGGTAGTGGCTGAAAAGAGCAAGACTTCTAACTTTTTGCTTCTGACTCCCTGCAGGAAACAGTCAAGCCTCCTTGCAACCACAGAATGGTATGTACTATGCTGTCAATAAAAGAAAATTCATAAGCCAACTGACAGTATTAAAACCACACTCGTTAACTGAAGATCTGCAATGTAAGATTCTAGTAGCATTTCTAAAGGCTGCAATTTATAGTAATGTATGAGGTCCTCCAACATAGTTGCATCAAAACTTGTTTTTTCAAATCAAGTAAACACTCTACATAGAGGTAACTCCCTCAACCCTTTGTATCATAAATACGAAAATTATACCCAAACTAGCAGGTATGCCAGAATTTTCAGCTTGCCCTCATATTTTTTGGCCACTCACATTCACAGCTTGAGAACATCATCTACATAAAAGGCTGCTTGAGAACTAAAATTTACGTTGAACTTCAATAATATTTTTCTTTTAAATTTTAAATAAAATTTATTTCAATATTTTAAAGTTCCAGGAATATGGACATTGAAAGGTAGCCCAGACATTAGAGCACTCTTCCACAGACTACAATAAAATAGTTTCTTACTTCAGCGGGAGTGAAAAGCACCTTCACCTACACTAAGACAAACAGACCGTATCTTCACATTGAAGAGGAGAGCAAAGGGTCACATTTTAGAAGACTGATAATGTTCACCTGGCTTTTAAGACTCCATGTTGGCAACTGACATGGTTATACATGTATATTATAATAACTCTTTATGGTAGGATCATTCCACGACTTATTTCGCACGTTTCTGTATCTTGACATCGTATCTGGCTGAAGAACTACCACGGTTTTCAAAGTGCAGAAATAACACAGAGAAAATGTTTAACAAAAGCTTTAGAACGGATTTAAGTGCAATAAACAGTTGCTTATTTTGCCCTTCTAAACCTAAATTTCCTCTGACACACATTGATACCCACAAATGCTACCTAAGCATTATCCAGATCAAGCAATTATGCGCAGTTTTCTTTTAAACCAAAAGGATGTTTCAGATGGAGTGTATAATAATTATTGTCAGACAAGAAATAAAAACCTTATCACAACAATTTTTGTCTTTCTAAGCTATCCACTGAAAAGCAGAATTTGTTTATCTTGACTGCAGATATATGGACTCTTGCTAATGGACCTCAGCCACATTACCAGACTTACTTTCTGTTTTCTCCAGCCATTTCTCAGTCATCATTTTTCAGGATAACCATCATTTAGTGACAGACATACTTTTGAACAACCAGCAGTCTGGCAATATAAGACAACAGCTTCACATTTGATTTTTTTAAAAGGGCTCTTGGATTATCTTGGGCAAAAGTAACTGGAAAAGGCAGAAAGGAAACCTCTGTGAAAGACAGGACGTGATGCTATGAAGGACTGCTGTGCCTTGGAGGAGGGTACAGAGTTACGTGTCTCTTAAGTTCTGGTCAGCCATGACAAGTCTCAACTAAAAAAGGCAAAAGCATCCAAACAATGGAAACATAGTTCAGTATGAATCCCAAAATGCAGCAACGGAAAATTCTTCTGGTTATACAGGATTGCTCCTTATTATGGCACATTCATCTCAAAGCTTAAAAGGGAAAAGAAACAAATGCATGTTTTAGTACCCATTGCTAAAGTTTTTTTCTGGGATACTGAACCTGTTCATCACCCTCTTTAGTTTGTGTCCTTTGAGTCTCAGAACAATGGATCTGCCACCAGTTCCTATTTCTTTCCAAGGTGTACACATTCAGGTCTTGCAATTTATTTGCATGTCAGCCACACAAACTTTTTAAGATAGATACCTTACACCTTTTTGCTCATCCCTCTTCCAGCCTCATACTTAAGTTCTGATCAAAATGATTAAGACTTTAATTCTCTGAGAAAGCAAACACAGGGATAATCCACTAAAGGGCTGCAAACGATGAGCAATTGTTGAGTTCAGGAGAGACATTTCCAGCACAGTTCTCAGTGTAAGCAACCCTTGGCTGCTTCTTGGTACAGACTAAAAAGGTTATTTCAACTACAGTATAAATTAACAATGCCCAGAAACACTTTTGTCTGACCACTTGATGCTGGGAAACAACCACAAGAGCAAGAAGAATATGAGGGAGAACGATGAAGAGAGAAAATATTTTAACCCAAGGATATTGTCTCAACACATGATTCTACTGCCTACTACTGTAGACAAATTCCTAGTGCAAGAAACACTACCAGTGCAAACCTTTACGTCAAATCTGAAATGTTTAGTCAGAGGACAAAAAAAGAACCACCAGCAGCAGCACTCGGTAAGAGATCCCCCAGTGCCTCAGGCCCTGCAGAGAGAAACACTGGCTATGGCTTTGTTCACCAAGAATACAAGTCATCACCTGAATAAGCCACAATGATAAACCTGTCTAACAGGCTCACAGGAGCTAAAAATCTTTGCTCAGCTAATACAGTATTTTAATTTAAAAGGAGTGGCAGATTTTAAAGTGGCAATCCATTCATCTAATTTTAAGTATAAACACAAGTCCATCATGCCAAATCCTCCATCATGAAAACATGCATGGTCAGAATTAATTGTTTGGTGGCATATTCTATGTATACTTGATGTGGAAGAAGAATATAAGCTCACAGGACTAATCCGTGTGAGATAAGGACATCACACAACAGAACGAGTAATTTCAACATTCATCTGAACACCATACATTTCTATTTCAAGTCACTTGTTAAATGAGAAACTGAAGCCTTCCTGTGAAGTTCACATGTTCTTAATATGCCTACAGAGTGTTGGTTTTATTCTTGTACTGAAATTCTGCTGTCCCTCTCTGTATTCTGAATAATCAAGAGGATGGTAAAGAATTATTACTGCAGTAATGGGACTTACTGCTGTGTGATGCAGGATCCAGAATGATACAGCACAGTCTTTGTTACCCTGTGTCTAGAGCTATTATAAAATTCCAAAATTACAAGGACTAAGCACAAAGAATGAGAGAGCAGGACTACCTTGTGAAGGTAGATGAAACGGTAAGAAAGATGTAGTTAAGTGAATTGCCTGTTCTTGTTGTATTTGCTGAAACATTCGGCATGTTATTAAATCCCATGTTCTATCACAAAACTGCAGAACTCAATGTCACAGGATGTAGGAAATGCCAAGAATGTAGACGGATTAGAAAGAAGATTAGATAAATCCACAGAGGATAGGACCATAGAGGACTATTAAATGTGATGCAGCCTCCTGCTCACACATGTTGGCAGAAAGGTGGGGGAGTATGAAGGAGGACAACTCTCTATATGCGTTTCTTATGCTCTCCCTTCAGACATACACTATTTATCATTATGAAAGCCAGGACACTGTGCCAGACAGAGCTAGTAGAAAGCACTACTTTTCTTCTCATAACCACAGAAAGATTTTTGGAAGAAGACATTAGTTGTGGTTGACCAGTACTTTACAGCAAATTTCATTCCAGAGAGCACTCTGTTGCCAAATTATACACCGATACAAACATAGAGACAAGGAGATGTGCTGTCTTACTGAAATAATAGAAGGGTGTAGTCAAATGCTATAGCAGGTCTCCACAGACTGCAGTTTTGGAAATGAGCATGATACAACAGCCAGTAATCTATTACGTCCTTTTGCAAAATTTTAAGCACAGGCTATCCAACTATCTTTCTTCACTGTTTCTCATCTATTACTTGAATTGTGGTCCCCCAAATCACCTGTGCTCTGCAAATCACTAATCCTTTCTTCCAAAGTGTCTCACATGCCTTATGAAATGATGGGAAAGGCATTATCAAAAATGTGTTTTAAGAGCTATTTGTTCCAGAGAGCATTTACCATGCCAGCTGAAATGAAGCATGCACTGCCTTTGTAAGTATAGTCCAGATGCAGAATAGAGATTTAATACTGACCCGCTAGCATCTGAATATGGTTATGCAGAACCTCAAACACCTCTTATTTAATTTATACCTTCTGAATCTCTGAGCAGCATTAGTGAAGAAGAAATGTGTTAGACAGAGGTTGTAGAGGAAAAAATGATATGATATGATACAAATTCAGATGAATCTCTGTGGAGTGGGAGGAAAAGTTCAAAAAATTAAGTTAAGTGGAGCATCTACTTGGAATTGATGCAGTTAGGAAAAGAAGAAAAGGTAAAGTAGTTTCACCAGAGTCTGTCTCAGTACTTAAACACAGCGAACACATCGAACAGATGAGCTGTGCTTGTTTAATGGCTTGTTCCTTAAGAAAGGTTGTATTTTATTTAATACACACCCCAAAAAATTTCTATCCACTTGAGGGCTTTAAAAAAAAAAAAATTGAAAAGAGCTAAAACATTAAAACTTTATAGGAATTGTTAATTAAAAAGTAATTTTTTAATGTGAAAGCTAGCTACCACTCTAGCTTTCAGATATTCTGATTTTGTGTTATTCACAGTTCAGGTAGCAGTCATCACTACATTTGTGTTCACAAGCACACAGCCCAAGATCATGTAAAAACCCTCAGCATTACAAATGGAGCACTACATACACATGTGTAATTGGTAACCCACCACAGAAAACAGCAAACAATCTTGTGCTAACAGAGCACATGTTAATTGGGATTAAGGACTGATCCTTAATCCCAATCACCATCAACAGGGATTCATTACTGTGGGAGCACCTACAAGGGACTCTCCATTGGCTGAGAGATGATATATGTATTTTTAAACAAAGATCTGGAAATAAAACTAAATCACTAACAAAAACCTGCAGTTAGCACAAGACCCTGCAGAGTTATAAATAACAAAGTCAGTGTAGTCATGCAGAATGATGTGGATTGTTTGGATACAGGGGGTCCATCTGATTGTTTAATGATTGTCAAATGCAACCTCATCTCAAACTGTATGTCAGAAAGAGGACTCTATCTCAGAGTGCAGTAGAAATTAGAAAAGGCCCTCAGGATTATAGCTGATGAACAATGTTAACTCCCAGTGTCGCTCTGGCTCACATATCAAGGGAAATAAAAACATGAAAGTGTTTTTTATTTCTGGATGTTGCATTCATGGTCTGCAATAAGAGTATCACTTACAAGCCCAAAAACCTTAAAGGAAGCTGAAAAAATATCAGGGAATGCAGACAAGGGCCAAAATATGGTTGGAGGACTGAAGTAAGAGCCTTAAAATCTAGACTGCTTAAACATTTCTACGTTTGGCTTGAGTTTAATTAACACACAGATACCAGCCCCTACCAAAATGCACTGAATACTGAAGACTGTAAATTCACAAAATCACAGAATGGCTGAGGTTGACAAGGACCTCTGGAGGTCATTTATCCAACCCCTTACCCATCTCAAGGAGGGTCACCTAGAGCAGGTTGCCCAAGACCGGGTCCAGGTGGCTTGAGTACTTCCAAGGTTAGAGATTCCACAACCTCTCTGGGCAACAAATAAGATGCCATACTTTACAGGACAAAATGCTTTGTCTGTCTCTATGCAAGCATAAATTAGTATATATTTCAAATTAGTTTTGAAATGTAAAGTACTTATAAAAGGTATTTGCCAAAAATGACAGTGTCTGAAAACAAAGGTTTTGTTGATAGAAGAGAGAAATATTAAGAACAATAGTTCAGTTTTCGCTGTTTGCATTTGCCTCTCTACATTTATCCTGATCTGAAAAGGGTTTTTTTGAAGAACTGTGAAAGCATTAGAGTTCAGCCTTTATTCTTATTCAATCCCCTGGCTTTCTGCTGACTATGTTTTCCACAACAGATACATACAAACTGGCTTACTAGAAGCTAGACTGAGATCACAAATCATTTCTCACATACCACCAAAGCACTGCCAATAGCTTTTGATTGGTGTTAATTTGTGCTGTGTTTGAATCTGACCTAGGAGTGGAAGGGTCTGCAATCAGTTACCTAATCCACTGAGAGTATGCTGCAATTTTTATATTCTAAAATATTTCAAAGCAATTGCTGTTTATATTGGCTTCGAAACAAAACTAATCTAATTCTTTCTTGGTATTTTTTAGAAGAATGTTATCAGCACATAAAACTTAAAACCCACGGCAACTATGTTTCTTGCAGTCTTAAAATTCTTTTCACTTGTGACATTGTTCAGGTATTTTATCCTCTCCCCACACACCACATTCCTCTCTGAAGAACAAGGACAACCATAATCAAGGACCATCTTCAGAATCTTGAACTATTGCTCACCTGTGCTTTTGCCAGTTTCTTTTCCAACAGGTCACGCTCCCTTTCAGTTTGTTGTAGACGTTTATTAAGCTCCACTATGTCTCCCTTTAATGAAGCCAGGGCTGCTAAATGAAGCTAGAAGACGAAAGGAAAGAAACAAATTAACCAGTTCACTAGCCATGTAGCAGTAGCATCTGAAAGAAGATAAGTAGTTATACATTAGCTACAATATCTGTGGATTTCTGCAGTAGTTAATAAGAACTTTACCATAACAAAAGTCTAAAAGAAATCCACATGCTACTAAATACTTTTTACGTGGAATTCTCCTCTCCAGACAGCACACACATTCCTTCATCAGAAAACACGTTATAAGGATAAATACAATTAAGTATAATTCAGCTGGAAATATGTAGATTAGTTCTCACATTAGTTTACTAGGAAGCAGCTTGACTCTTGTGTTATAAAACCTTACATTAAACGTTGACTCAGATTTGTATTATAAAAGAAGGTGTATCATGTGTTGATGCCTTCAGACATATAGAGGTTATCAGTTTGGTAAAGGGAATTACTCCATGCATAGGATTCGGTTTTATTTTGCAACTAAAGCTTACTCTACCGCTCTGTAGTTGTTGTTCTCCTCGGTCCCACGTCAGTGAATTTCAATGATTCTAATCTACTGAAGCCACATATGAAGAACCTGTTTTTCTTTCTGCAGTAGATCCTTTTGATGAAAGATACGTTCTACGTTTAACTGATAGCATGTGGAAATATATAGCAGACTAGGATAACTAACATCATCTAAATTACGTTAGCTATGTAACGTAGAAATCAAGAACAATTCTTAAAAGAATCCTATACTTGTAACTCATTCACACTCTCTTCCTGTCTCACACTCTCTTGAAATATCCCATTCATCATTACACCGAAGGCACCAGCTAGAATTCAACACTCAGTATTGACAACTACAACCAAAAAGCCCAAGAAGAAAACTAGCCACTAGTAATGAAATCTTTCTTTGTAGTAGTAAAGAAACAACTCCAAGTTATACTGGGTGAGAAAACAAAAGTGACCTTTCACACCAGACCAAGTAACACAGCAAACACCGCTCTGCTGCCAAGATTCAGACTGAAATGCAAACCCTGTTTCTAGTCCTCCAGCCAGTTTCAGTCCTTCACTCTGACACTTTATTGGGCGGTTCACTTTTAAGTTATTTTTCTTGTTCCATTTACAGTCGATCTGCTAATGAGTCCTATTTTGATCTCCGTTTTACCTTTACAATACTGGAAGCCAGCAAAACCATAGGTGTTTCCATGTACTGACCTGTGAATGTAGCTCTGTGACAGCAGAGCGACTAGATCATTTGGCAACAGTTCCTTCACATACAGTATTCCCATTGTTATAGAAAAGGCCACCTCTGGCTTCAAGACAGAAAACATAATTTTACAAAGATTTTTAGATGTGAATTCTGCAGTTTTAAGTGCAGTGTAACTAGTTATGCTAGATGCTGTGGACATCCTCATTTGTGAGTTCAGTCGAAAGCATTTTTATTATGTCAGCTACAAAAACGTCTTACACAGGTGCAGTTATTCATTTCAGTACAAATATACACGTACACAATTTTATGTTGAGGTACGTTCAAGATTCTCGAGGCAGCCTCATTTTTCAAGTGAAAAAACAGTAATTCAGGCCTGCTACGGGCATATGCTACATAGCTTCTTTCAAGTATGTATGCTGAAATCTCCTAATAAACCCAGAAACACCCTGAATATCTTTAAGTATTCTTGACCTTCAGCAGAAGGCATTCCTTCCTATCACAGGAAACTATGCACTGGTTTCACAGTGTGGAGAAACAAGAACCAGCCTAATTGTACCAATCTGTTCATAACTGACTTCCAATTTTCAGGAAAGCTAGTGAATTTGTAAGCCACTGTTTCACCTTATTTCCTTAACAGAGAGGAAATGTTGCAATGAAGTTCACCGGTTTGTTCATCAGATCTTGCATCCTTCACTACAGCTTTCAAATAATACATGAAAAAATGGCTACAATTCTCTAAATTGAATAAAACAATGCTACATAGTCAAGTAAGTAACATTCCCTTTCATACACTATAATTATATGATCACCAGCTGTGATTTTAATTAAATACCAGACCAATAATGTCCATACACATGGTGCTGTAATATAAAAGGACAACGTTAATTTAAAAATCTCAATGAAAAACAACTTGTTCTCTGAACAGTGGAACTAACAAGGCGGACTTCCTATGGATTTGTCTTTGTCCTCTTCCCACACTGCAGTCAGCTCAAGTTGTTCCTCACGTCCCCGAGTACACCCCAAACTGGGTAAGAAACAGCATGAATTGTGTCTAGTTTTATAGCAACGCTGCTGCCTGGCCTGGTAGCTCCTGCCAAACAAGGGTATCCAAGATGTGAGTAACATCAGCCTCCCCGTTCAACGTAGGGTCTCTCTTCTCCAAGTAACCAAAGGATTTCTTTACTAATTACAAGGAAAGTTTGTTGCATCTGTTACTATCCAAAATTATCCTTTCCTTTCATAAATTGGACCGGTCCAGTTTCCAACTACTAATAAAACAATAAAAAAAAAAAAAAGAAAGTTACTGAAAGGGCCGACCAAGGAACAGGAAGTTATCATACACAGAGGAGGGCTGCTTGGGATACTCTTCGGTTTCATGCATGTACCCAGTGCACACAGCATATGCGTTAGTAAGCCGTATGCAAGTGGTGCCTCCAGCTACTACTGCAACATATAATAAGGTTAACACAGCTAGCGTAGCTGTGCCTTCTTGGCAGAGCCAAGCTCTCCTCCCCAGTTCCTTAAAAAGGTGTTACAAAGTATTGCTGCATCTTCCCTTAAGGTGTGAGTGTTCCCACAGACCATGCTTCCCAGTGTGTTTGTATAGCACACAGCAGGGTGGGAACTGCAACACAGATCTTTGGATGTTGCTGTAACACAAACAAGGAAACATCTGAGCAAAGAGCTACAGTCAACAAAAAAAAAGTCATTCTGGGAAAAAAACCCTCACATTTAGAATTCAAATTTAATAAGCCTAACTATTAAAGTTGGAAAGATTCCGTTTAAAAATCTCAACCGGAAGGCAGTCGGTCAGTCACCACTGTAACTCTGCAGCATTGAATCACTACGGGATATGACAACTGGGAAAGAGAGAGGAGAATGGAGGTAGCCATATGGCATACCGCTTTTTTTCTCCCCATAGCAAACAGCAATAGGCAAGGCAGAGTTACTATCACTAACCTTCTTAACAGACATTTATAGTTCAAGGTGGGATGCCTCTTAATGACACAAGATTACAAAACAGACCAAAAACTCAGTAGTTTGTAAAAATTAACACAGACACCACAAAGATTTCTGTTTGTACAACACATTGGTCTGACCCTTTAAGCAACAGCTCCCACAGAGAACTACTTCATACAGACAAAACAGTTCACTGACAAAGCCAGTTTTGTTCATAAACTTTATACTGATCCAATACAGCTAGTATTGAATTCCACCAGGAAAAAAACCACTATGTGATGCTGATGCACCCAAACTGCCCAACAGGACAGGCACTGTCAACACATGTGAGAGCAATGATTGAAAAGGGATCAGACAAGCCAACTAACCTGCTTCTCTACCATCATCCAAAGAAATAAGAATTCTTTCAGAAAAGAAATTAGATGCAGTGTATTAATAAAAAATGCATCACCTATCTTAACGTAGAAGCTACAATTTCTATGAAATTTTCTGCAAGGACAACAGCAGGTTGTTTACTGAAACATATATATACACACCACATTTTATACCCAATACTATCCTGCCAGGTTTTTATATAGTAAATATATAATAACAATTATTTATTAATATAAAATAACAAACTGTGCATAGCATGCTATCTTTAAAATGCAAACCAGCTAAGTTTTGAAACATACAATAATTAAAAAAAAAAAAAAAACCAACAAAAAAGCAGAAGCTTAGGAAAAAGCAACCTCCTGACATCTCTTCCAGCCTCTGTTATGACTGCAGTCTCTTCTCCATTATATCTGCTTCTACAAACATCTCATAGAATACTGTAGACATGATTTAATTATGTATATTTTGCACAGTGCTTTAAACACTGCTTTTGGTGCTGGGCTTTGTGAAATCTTCTACATGGGTACAATTAAAAACAGTATTTGCTGACAGCCAGGTTCCTCAAGAATTTTGTGGGGAAAAGAATACAAAAGCAGATGGGATAGTGATATGAACTGAATGCCAAGGAAGCAGGGGACTACTGACATGTCTGTAGTACGTACTGCTGGAAGTGTTCTGAGGCCATGAATGAAACAAGAGAAAGATGCGAACAGCAATGAAGGAGAGTGCTGAAAAAATGACAGGTTAGAGTTAAAGCTCTGCAAAGCAGTACAATTACTCTTATACTCAGCATTCTTCTCTGCCATTGTGAACTGTGATCCTCATCACTAAGTTTGATCCACGTTTTTCTCTCCCTCAGCCTGGAGATGGACTAATTAAACCATGTTGCTAAAACCAGTTGTACTCACTGCCTACGTCTGCTATTTTCAACAGAGAAATCACAAAAGGACCTAAGCACATCCTTCTCTGTGAAATTAAAGAACTAATCTTATCTTTTTCCTCGTTTCCTGCATTCCTCGGCTACAGTACTGCTGCACATCAGCTTGGGAATAGATGTTCAGAAATGTAACCTCTGACATAACAAGGGAGCCATAAAAGCATCAAGATCACGGTAAGGAGATACCAATCCATATACCAATACAAACCAGCCAAACACCAAAAGACCACTTCATTTGTTCTATGTGTGTTCTCTGTGACTGACTGTGACTGCAACTCTTACCATGTAAGAAGGCTCAGAGGAGATGGGCCAGGGCGATGTGCCCATGAAGCTCAGGGAATAATGCAGGGTTTTACGGATCACAGCTGCTGCAAAGAAGCTGACTTGATCTCAACACCAAGGGGACCCGAGGGTGGTCTTTGCTTTAGATAAACAGCTATCGACAGCTGAGTGGATCAGTTGGTGGTGGAAAGGTTTCTCCCTATGTTCATTAGAAGACTGTGAATGTCTCCAGGAGTTAGCCAGGCCAACAAGGGGGATGTGTATATA